GATTTTTAAAAATAAAAAAGTTGTCCTTTTGACAACTGAATTATTTTAGCTTTTATTTGGCTACTGATATGACCATCATTTTATCGAAAATGACTAAGTGCACCTTTAGAGAGATCTAATTTGCAATTTTTCCGTCTTTCCTGGATTGTTTTTAAATTGAAACCTGATCTCTAACTGTAGATAAAACAGATTCCTTGTCATTATATCAGAAATTCTGTCTCTGTGAAATTGCTGTGTGATTTTGCCAATTTCCTGACATTTATTGGGATATAATTTGAAGATATTTTGTACATACTGAGCTTGCTTATTCGAAAACTCTGCAGTAGAATGGTGATGAGGAGCATGACCAGTGTGTGTATGCTTGTGTGTCACGGCCGGGTCATCAATCACCAGCATCATTGATCGAATATTGATCAGCGTGGGCCATAATTCAGCATCTCTATCACATACAGCCTTACCAGCAGACCCACAGCGGCAGAAACCTCTCCTTTCAAGCAAACAATAGAGCAAATCTTATATACTTGTGCCAATTAGAGGAGAATGAGAAGACAATAGGAGCATATGCATCTTATGTACACACACTCTCCCTCGCTGCCTCTCTGTTTCTTTCTCTCCATCTCTCGTTCCCCTGCAGAAGAATCCTGATCAAATTTTCACCCGACCAAGGGCTGCTAGGATGGCAGAAATAGCAGCATTAGTTTGAGTTTTGTTCTTGCATCAAAAGCTATTGACACCATAGTTCTTCTGCAGCGTTGACCAACTGGTTATTTATTTATTTACCTTCACCAACATCACTAGACCCCAAATGCAAAATTCTCCCAACCCGCAGTGCCGCTAAGTGAATCTACATTTATATAATGCTGCCAAGCTTCAATTGACTATTGAACTGTTACCATCTTTTTGTTTAGCTGTGCACCTTATTGATTGTATTAAAGGGATTTTTTATTTGGAGCTCAGCCTTGAATGAAGAGAAGTGAGCGCTACGCTTCAATCTGCTTGACAAAACACGTCTGGGTGAAATCAAATTTCCCCTGACGTGACCGAGAAGCGGCCCCACCTCTGCTTCTGAAGCACAGTCGTACGTCACGTTTTTTCAGAGTCAAATGCCACATGCCTGAAGGAAATACCAGTGCTTGTACGGCAGAGAATGAATAGTGTTAAATTTTTAGGTGAATTTAGGTTTATGCTTTGGTTCTGAGTAAATGAAATGCCACATTGCAAGCTCCTTAAACTTTGGCTTTGTCATGACACCCAGTCTTTTTTTCTGCCCGCTGTGCATTAGAATCAACACACATAATGTGACTTCTGTGCAGTCTTTGCAGTTTAAAGAGACGAAAACAAGGCCAAATGCAATTCAGTATGCAAATACATTTTAGAAAGAAACCAGTAAGCAATGGTGTCATGGCTTTTGGTTAGATTTTGAAACAATGAATTAACAATATGCAGAAATGATGCACATTGATCAGTTAAAAAAATGAGTTAATAATTTAAAGTTAATTTAAATTCATTCAACAAATTTGAATGAAGACTATACATGAAGTGATCTGAGCTGAAATAGCAGAAATGGGAAGAGATGGATAAAAATAGACTGACAAACCAAACATTTGCCTCATCTGGTGCTAAACAAAGTAAGCAGAATGAGCAAATAAACAGCACTGTCAGCAGACGCAATTAACCGTGTGAGAATTCCTCCCAAAATATTTAGGAATATCAATATAACGCGGCCTTGCAATCATCGCAATAAAAATTAATCAATATTGGCTGTTAAACTGGATGTAGCATAAAATTAGCATTTCCAATTAAGCATTAATCACATAAACTGACTAAACTAATTGTGGCTGATTTGTTTAATTAGTTCAATTTCAAATTCACAGAGAGAGTGATCACTTTTATGTTCTAATACAAGAGAAGATTAGAGGTGAGAAGATGCTTGTCATTTGAATTTTATGATTATCTATCTATCTGTCTATGCAATGCATATTGTCAGCTCAGAATTAGAGTTAAAAAATTGAATCTGATAAAAATTAATTTCGAGTGAATATCCTGCTGAGTAAATATTTTCTAAATAATATAAGAAATGGTAGTAATCACAATATTTTTAGTAGAATGCTAAATGAAAGGCAACCATTTTTTGTTTATAATATCATGCATACTAATTTTTAACGCTCAGCATAAATGGGCTTTAGGAAGGAGATCCCTTGCAAGAGGATCATCATATTTGTGGCTTCTTCGAAAAGTCTGAAAATGCCTGAGAAAGAGAGAGTAAACGAGCAAGAAGGAGAGATAGATGAGTTCCTTCTACTCCTTTGGCTGTAAACTACACTCACATCCCCACAACATGTCCAAAAGTCCTACACTAAACACCCACCAAATGTTAAACTGAAATGGAGTGAAAGGGCCAAGTCCAGATCCATTAAATCCCTCCCGAACCTGTGAATGATTCTCAGCGCAGTGACTGTGTAGGAATCCCCGTCAGTGAGTGTGTGCTGGACGATTTTTTGATAAGACTCACTAGCTGCGCAGTGGCGCTTGGCACACATAAACATGGGAAGCGATGAGTGTGGAGAGCGTGTACACCACCACAACACTGTCAGATGCATTAATCACTTACTGTGGAGGAACTGTTTTTCTGGGATGCTATGAACAAGAGGGTTTTTGTGTGTTTTTTTTGTGTTGTAGACCCATATTAACACTGCAAAGGCAGCATCAAAGTCCCGTCTGAAGAATTCACACACTTTCAATGCAGTCATATGTCTGCATGCATACTGCAGATTCACTGCATTGCTGTCTGTAAAAATACTGCAACCTTATACACATAAAACACATACTCACAGATTCCCTTGTGTGTACATGCAATTCATCTTCATAATTATGAAAAAATATCTTCTCTTGTTATGTGGCCCAAATTTGCATATTATTTCTTATTAGGGAAAAATCTGTTTCTGTTCACAGAAGCTGATTCTTTGAACTCTTGTGTAAATGACACATGGACTTTTTGATGTTTCCATGTTTACTGTGTGAAAATTCTCTCAGATTAAGATTAATCACTAATTATTTATCTCATTCATTCTTATTTATGATGTTTACATGTGGATCTACAGCTGAAAACTGCTAAGAAACTGATAGGAAAGAAAAGGCACAAATGAGATATTTAATGTTGCAATTTCTTCTCCTAGACAGCAATAAGATTAAACTGAGACTTCAAAAATGATGTTGTCTCAATAACAGTAGATATACTTGACAATATGTAGCACTTTATTTTATTAGTCCAATTTAGACAATATACTAAATACAACGTTCTGTCATGAAACTAGATGGTGCAGGCCGATAGGTTCCAACTCAATCTGATATAATCATATGATTATTCACATGGGGCAGCTGATTGGTTTCTTACATATCAGCAGCCAATGAGCTTGCTGCTCAACATTCAAATACTTGGCTAGTGCTTGCTGTAGCAGTTGCAGCGCACTTCAGAAACCCTCTACCTTCCCCAGCTCCACCTGTATAGATCTGCTATGGGGTGATTTCATGTATGATATATATGGGGGTTATTTCATACATGTTACATGTGCAGCAGCAGTATTTCCTGCATGCTCACAGCAGCATGTCTGTGGATGTATTGGCAGTAGCAAGTCTCTGTACTAGTAGTAACTACGCGGCAGCAGTGTAGCAGAACTATTCCGCCAAGACCAAACACATTAACACTGTCATGTATATTACAATGATAAAACTCTCCCAGAGTTGTCATGACAGAACTCTAAGTAACTTATCAACTAGATATCAACTATTAGTCATTAGAATAGACTGTCTGTTTAATATCTCCTAACACTTTATTTTGATGGTCTCTTAACACACAGTCTACTGGCTTTAAAAAACTTTGCAATTACTTACCAACTTATTCTACTAAGCCTAACACTAATCCTAACCTAACAGTCTAATTATACTCTAATGAGAGTTAGTTGAATGTCTAAAGTGGACTATCGAAATAAAGTGTAACCTGACAACCTATTTTATTTTCAAAGCTAGAGGAAGATTCAAACCTGTGATCACTTGCAAAAAGTATTCCTCTAAGCTACATCGTTTGAGCTGCTCGAAGACTGAAATTCTAGAATCGCCCCTGCAATGGATGCATCATCCGACTGCAATCTACAGCACTTAGTGAATGTATATCTACAAATTAAGGAAGACTGATTTACTGACTCACTGTAATGGACAGGCACATTAACACACTCAAAGAGTACACAGAGTTGCTAAAATGCAAAAGTGCTATTAGCATTAGAAGACCTCCTGTGTATATGGTTTCATCATTGAAGAGCTATCATCTCTCGAACAAACACGCATTGCCTGCCATACTCCCATGACTATGACAACCCAATTCAAGAGCTGGCACAGTGAGACATTACCCAGCAGTCTCTGCACAACCCATTTACAAACTACAGGCCCATTTATCAGAGACTTTAGCACATGCTCAGATTGTTGCCCGTGCAGTTTCAGTAACAATCACTGACTGGAGCATGTTAAATATCTCTTGCGCTCAAAGGAGTTCTTGCTCTCTTTATCTCTGGCAACTACCGTTTTGTATGCACTAAATGCAAGTAATCTAACTTAAACCCTAAATGCGATTACAAGCAACAGATTACTTTAGCTTCTTTTATAGGCGAACAAAAAGAAAAGGATCCCAAGGTTATCCGGAGAACGGGTTATGAAGAAATTGTCTTATTTGGAAGTGTAATGGTTGTAAATGTGTTTGAATCATCTGTTTTACGTCCCGTAATATCCCTGTACCCCACACCACTACAGTAAGCTCTGGAAAAGGATAGAATCACTTGAGAAGAATACAGGTGATTAGTCTCCTAATCACTCCCAATCACCAGAGCTGGGGAGGATGAACATGCTATGTTTTCTTGTGTGGGTGAAAATATGTTTAAAGTGAGTAAGAATGAACATGGATGAAACATAAATGTACCACAGATTAACCTATATGGGCTTCTGAAACTTACCGTCCTCTGTGGGAACGTAGACGTTGAGATAAAGGCAGTCCTCGCTCTGGTTCTGTACATAAGCCGCGGCAGCATCCAGGTTGTCGGTGAACCATACGGGAAGCATGATCTCTGGCAGCACCCCTTGGATGTTCTGTGGGCACACTGGTGCAAACTGGGTAGCGTTACGGATCTCCTGCCAGGAGCCTGGTGCCTCCGGGGGCTGGAAGCGCCTCTCGCCTACTGGCGGGGTGGCATAGGGGACGCCCAAGTACTGCTCGACCGGACCCAGAATCTCATTGTTCAGCTCCTTGCGTACGCCCCGAAGCTTCCCATAGCCTGTGGTGACCATAGGGTGCTTGGCGGCGGTGAGGTCTGCCCGCTGGCAGGAGGACAGTGCCAGGCGAAGTGCCAAGCCCAGCAGCCACACCAGGCAAGTTTCAGAAGGGAGAAGAGTTTCAAGCCGTCCAAGCCGTCCCGAAGTTAAGGGCTTTGTGGAAGTGAGGGTGTGCGTATCCTCAGCAGAGCACAGAAGAGGCAGAAGAGGC